TTAAAGTATGGCACTAGAAAAAAAGAAAAAAAAAAATATATAATTCAAAGTCCTCTAAAAGGTTTTTGTTCCATTTCACAGTTTTCTCTCAAAAGATGTTTGTTTAATTAGGATATCCTCTAAGCTTCATGATATTTGAGAAACTTAACTATTTCTAAAAGTGACTTTAAGAAGAATATTTAAGAAACTTATCCTTTTGCTAATATATGGATTTATTTAATATTACTGAAGTCAGTACTATATTATAGAAGAGTTTGCCTGATCAGGATAAAAAAATCTTTTCAAAAACTTTGTCTAATCGAAATAAGAGTTTAGAGACTTCAAGAAAACCTTTTCATTACTTGAGAAACTTAATAAGAAATAAGAATCAGATATGTTTATTTATTCATTATTTGTCTTTCAGTATTATAATTGTTTTCTGGAGGTCAAACATGCATAGTTAGAAGTGACATATTTTCTAGAACTTTTTTTTTTATATCATTAATAATATAATGAGACATGTAAATATAACCAATAGAAGCTTGTTTATATTCCAAAAATTGACATATTTCATATTAATCAATCAACTTTAATGAGAATTTGTGCTATCCAAAATTCAAGGTCAAATTGAGATAGACAAAATTCCTCAGAAAACTATGAAAGTAAGAGTCCTAAGAGAGTCAAAATAGTTTAAAAAAGAGAAAATAAGCCTTTTAACTACAATATACCTCTATAAATCTCTTGCTTTAAAAATTAGAAAGGTCTTCAGGTACTTCACAACTAGTTCTTCTTTCTTTGAGAACTTTCTTGCCATTGATATTAAAGGTATTATTTAACTTTTTTTGATTACTAAAAGTTAAGTTTTTGAGTAAAGAAGTTTGTAGACAATAAAAAAAGGGTAATAATGACTTTTAAAGTAATACTTCAAGTTGTTTTAAAAAAAGTGTTAAGACTTTATTAGCAAAAAAATTTAAAAACTTCTTGTGAATATCTTTTTTATATATAGTTAGAGGATCAGTAAAAATAGTTTTATAAAGTATTTAAAAACTTTTTTATATTTAAAATAAGTTATTATAAAGATTTTTTATAATTCTTTTTTTTTTTTTTTTAAATGGCTCAACCTCCGATTGGCTTTTATTAACTTTAAATTTGGTATTATGTTTATATTATTTACTTTAGAGCTAACTACAAATTAAAATGATATTAATATATATATTGAAAACTATATACAAAAATTCTTCCAGATTCAGATTTTCTATGAGGATCTCTATAGTCTATTGTCTTCTATAAAGAAAACTAACCTGCCTGAGCTGAGTTAGTAATTATATTCCTTGTAATCATCATCAAGAAAAAAAAAAAATCAAAGGCTGCTAGATGAAGACCTAAATTTTCTTTACTACTGACTGTTCACTAAAACTTTCATCACGAAAAATGTCAACACCTACAAATTATCTACTGGAATATTTTATCTTATTATCTTTGAAAAAGAGGGGGACTTCTTCTTCTCGAATGGAGGAAAATAGTTTTAAAGTCCAGATTTGTTAAACTAGTGATCTGCTTAAGGGATTATTTATTCAAAGATTGGATAAGACCTATGGTTAGGAAAATACCTTAAAATCTATAAATAAGTTGTTGATCTGGTTCTAAAAATAATATTAGTTTCAAGCATAAGCTACTTATTTAAGAAGGTACAACTCTTTTAAAGTTGGGTTAAGTCTTTAGAGGATCTACCAATCTGGCAAAAGTTTTCAACAAGTACTTTCACTAAGAGTAATATTGGTGGGTATACTAGCAACCTAGGTGACTATACTTGAAGAATAGTTATGTTAGAATTTTTGATATTGTTCTTTAGTTTGTGATCCTTCCACAAACCATGGATCAGGAATAAAAAACCCATTAGCTAAGAAAAACCTCCTGTTCACCTTATTTGTTTTTTTAAAAAAAAAATTTATAAACAGATCGTTATCTATCTATAAGAGTTTGAGAATCTGCTTGACTGTTAAGAGAAGGTAACTCCAATATCAAAAATGATTGGAGTGTCTTGTAATCTTTACCATGGTTGGATGAACTCTTTTCTTAGTCATTAAACATAAGAGGGAGTGGTATCCTATATCTACTCATATGAAATCAAAATGAGATGACTTATGGTAGATTTCAGGTTCTTATAGAACTGAGAAAATATATTCAGATACGTGGAGTGGTCAATAAAAACTTATTTATCAATCTTGTTCAATGTGTTTCATGTCAACCAATCAGAATTAATGAGATCTGTACTATTCAAAATTTCAGAATCAAGCTGGAATGGGCAAAATCCCTCAGAAGTCTATAAAAAGGATAGCTCTTAGAAACTAATATACTGGTCAAAAGCAAGAAAGGTAAATTTTTTGACCAGAATGAAACCTCTATTATTTCTTTATCATAGCTGAGAAGTGATAAATACTTTAGTGGAAATAACATAATTATGTTATTTTCACTTAGTATAGGTTATTCCCACTTAGAAGTGATGATAGTATCATATATTAAAGTAACAATGGTATCATATATTTGTCATCATTTGAGTGATGACGTAATCATATATGTGTCATTATTCAAGTGATAATGTGATCATATTTGCTTCATTATCCAAGTGATGTGTGATTTAGACTATGACATACTGTCATTCGAGTAACGATGTGATCACATTTGCCTTGTTAAAAGATAAGTGGATATAATCTGATTATCAGATGACATGTGATTTGTATTTGCTTGTTAACTATTATAATGAACTCGAATATTGATCACGGATGAGGCACATAGTATCAAATTGTATTTCGAAGAAATAGCACAAAATGTCTTAACATATTTAATAATACACCAAAGCATTCAATTATAAGGCACGTAGTGCTGAATTGTTAGCTTTGTATAATTTATTTGAAATATCAATTAAGGATGAGGCATGTAGTACCAAATTGTTATCCTTACTCAGTGATCCACCAAAGTATCTGATGATAAGGCACATAGTGCCAAACTGTTAGCAGTTATTAGCTTCATATATTCAAATATTGCTCAATAATGAGGCATGTAATCTTGTATTATTATCTTATCTGGTAATATACCAAAGCATTCAATGATAAGACACATAGTGCTGAATTGATAACTACTATTAGCTTTATATAATTCATTCAAATATCAAGACATGTAGTGTCAAAATGTTATCATATCCGTTGATACCCCAAAGCATAATTTTATATATTATATATCTTTCTATAATAATTATACCTTGGAGTATTACTTTTTTTTAATATCTATTATCTATTTGTACGTAATCCCAAAGCATAATTTCTCTATATAGTAGAGTATCTTTCTATAATAATTATATCTTGGGATATTATTTTTTTGCAGTTTTTAGCTGATACCTAATCGTATTTTCTATATATTTCAAAATATCATTATATCGAAAACTTTGGGATAACACTATAGTAAACTTTGGAATAACACTATAACGAAAACTTTGAGATAACACTATAGCAAACTTTGGAATAACACTATAACGAAAACTTTGAGATAACACTATAGAAAACTTTGGAATAACACTATATCAAAAATTTTGAGATAACACTATATCGAAAACTTTGGGATATCATTATTGCAAAGCAATAAGGTAAAGCCTCTATTAAATATATATCAAAAAACATGAACACTACTATAATCAGAAAATGAAACTTTGGGGTATCACTAATTCAAAAACTTTGAAATATCACTTTTTTCGATACCTTGAAGTATTATTTTTATTGATACTTAAATTAGGCAATACAAAAATAGTTATTGAACACATACCTTATATATCAGACATACTTATCTGAAATTTATCTTAATTAAAATTGCATGACACAAAAATTTCCTTTATATAATCTAGATATCGAAGTATTAATTTTTTATTTGAATTTTTTCCACACTTATTTATAAGAAGCACAAAAACTCTTTATCTGAGATAAATAACTAGTTGAATGTAGCAATCTCTCTTCTTTAGAAATTACTACTTAACTAAATAATATTATTTTGATACCTGCTTTATTTGCGAAGCAGTACACACTGTACCTAAAAGATTTATAATGTATATGCATATTCAATAATTGTTAAATATTTATTTTTCAGTTTTTTTTTATGCGAAGTAGTAGGTACACCTATTTTAGTCTCAAAATTTCACTTATGTTCTAAGAAGTCAGTCTCATTCATAATCGCGTACTCTTTTTTTTTTTTTTCTCTCAAGTTCGAAAAAAAAGTGATACTCCAAGTTATAATTAACTAAAATATCTGGAATTGAGTAATGAAGTTACAAGAAAGTAAGATTACATTAGTTTATTCAATATTTTTCGTACATAAATAATATCGAAGCTCAAATAGACAGCCTGTTATCAGATTTGCAATCCTATAGCTGATCACTTTTTTATTGCGGAATGGGCCATATGACCTTTTAGGTCACCCTTTTGGATCTATAAAACAATGGCACTTGTGTGCCTAGGTGATAAATTGAAAATTCGTGACTCTGTCTCTTCTTCAAATTCTGGCTCAAAGAGCCTACCTATATCTTACATATATCTCAACACCACAAACCATATAATGGCAATAATTAACAGAGCAAGTAATATATATGCCGATAGTAATGACATCAAAGTACTTGCCACAGCAGGTATTGCTTTTATTTTCCCTATCAGAATTTGAGAATTCGATTTAATTAAAGAGGATTTATTATTTTCTAGCTGTGCAAGATAAGGAGTTACATTCAATATTTCTTGAAGTATATTGTTGTTGGTTTTACTAATATTGATTTTATCACTTGTCTTGAGAATAATCTCAATATTTATTTTTGGAGATGGAGCATAACCTTGAATTACTGATTCCTTAGATATAGAAGCACTTTTATCATCAGTGCAATTTAGTATATCTGTATCGATTTTTCTAACTTGATCTATACCTTTTCCATATATAAAATATTAACTGAGATCTTTACTAGGTATATCCGATGTGATGGCATCATCACTTCATAAAATAGAATTCAATATTTTTTTTTTATCTGCCTTACCGTCAACCTTGATTGGTTCTGACAATAACTTGGATTTTAAGGAGTATATCTCTGAAGTTTTTAAGACCAGATCATCTTTCATTTGTTTCAATTCGGCATCTTTTGAAGCCAATACATTCTCTATATGTACCAATTCGCTATTTTTTGAAACTAAAATAGAATTCAAGGCAAATAATTCAGTCCTAAGGGCATCAATCTTGGATTATTTTATAGACAAGTCCTCCTGAGCTGAAAATAATTTTGTCTCCAATGCCTCCATTTTAGATAAAAAATCTTTTATTTCTTTGAATTTTGTATGAATCTTGTCCTTGAATTTACTAAATAAAAGATCTTTACCAATGATAAAGGATTTGAAAATATCTATCTTTGAGTATAATTGCTTAATCTCATCTATAAGTTGATATACATACTTGGAGAGTTTCTCATTATTGAAATGTAATTGATCATTCTCCTTATTGATATTTATGCTATAATTCGAATATACCACTTGCATATTTTTATATTCACTAGTAATTTCAAAATTGGATTTGATATTATCATGTAATGTTTCCTCGAGTTCTTGTTTGCAGGTACTATCAAGTCTATACCCCTACCCTTGTATTCTTTTGGACTCCATACTCTTGATATCTTGCAATGTACGTACCTTGACTATGTTATTTTTCTTATATATTAAAAAGAAAATCAAGGCTAAATAATAGATATATTATATATACTTTTAGTTTACTAATATTATCAATACTAATAATACTACCAATATTATTGATAATGATTTTTATATATTATTGATATTTACTGATAATGATTTTTATATATTATCAATATTACTAATATTATTGATAATATTTTTTATATTATCGATATTACCGATATTACTGATAATATTTTTTATATTATCAATATTATTACACTATAAATACAACAACAAAATTATGTGAAAACTCTTTTCACTAATCCACTACCCACATACAAAAAAGATGTTCACAAGAAATTTTTTATTTCTTTGCTAATAAAGTCTTAACATTATCCTTAAACCAACTTAAAG